GGCTGAGTTCAAGCCCTACACTGGGTGTGGAGATTACTTTAAATAAAATAAAAATAAATAAAAAATTAAAATTAAAAAAAAAAAAAGAAAGAAATTCAAAATTTCAGACCCCAATTAAATGTACTAAACCAGAAATTCTCAGGTGAGGCCCAACAATTTGGGTTTTAACAAGCCCTCTTAGTTATTGTGACATGTTGATGTATTAAAAGAACCACTGCCCTAAATATTACAACATGCTCTTGACTTAGTACTTTTACCACTTCCAATGCAATGCAAAGACTTTAACTGTACCTACAGGTGATCCTTAACAACATGGATTTAAACCACATGGGTCCACTTATATACAGAATTTTTTTAATAAACACAGCACAGGGGCACCTGGATGGCTCAGTCAGTTAAACACCTGGCTCTTAATTTCAGTTCAAGTCATGATCTCAGGGTTGGCCACGGAGCCTGCTTAAGATTCTCTCTCCCTCTCCCCCTGCCTCTCATCCCAGTTTAAAAAAAAAAAAAAAAAAATCTTAAAAAAAAAAAGAAAAAAGATAAATACAGAACAGTTACTGGGGTGCCTGGCTGGCTTAGTAGGTAGGTAGAGTTCGGAACTCTTGATCTCAGGGTCGTGAGTTCAAGCCCCATGTTGGGCGAAGAGTTTGATTTAAAAATATAGATAAATAGGTGTGCCTGGGTGGTTCAGTCAGTTGAGCGTCTGACTTCAGCTTGGATCATGGTTGGGATCCTGGGATTGAGCCCCACCATTAGGTTGGGAATCTGCTTGTCCCTCTCCCTCTGCCCCTCCCCCCACTCATACTGGCATGTGCTCTCTCAAATGAATAAAAATCTTTAAAAACAAACAAATAAATAAATAAAAATACAGTACAGACTGTAAGAATATTTTTCTCTTAAGATTTTCTTAACATTTTCTTTTCTCTAGCTTTATTGTAAGAACAACAGTATAAAATGCATGTAACATAACACGTATTAATCAACTATTTATGTTATCAGTAAGGCTTCTGGTCAACAGCAGACTATTAAGTTTTGGGGAAGTCAAAAGTAGACATGCAGATTTTCAACTGTGCAGGAGGTGGCGGGATCGGCACCCCTAAACACATTGTTCAAGGGTCAACCATATTTCTTTCTGCCTTACCCTTGTACTGTCATGTCTTTTAACTTCTATAGTATTTTAGACCCAAAGGCATTGTGTTATGTAACAGAACTGCTATTGTTGTAAACACTCAATACACATTTAGATTTATCAAGAGACATACTCTTTTGGTGTTCTTCATTCTTTAGCGCACAGGATAATTTCCTTCTATCTGAAAAATTAATTCCCTTTAACTGTTTAATACTGGTATACTAGTAACATATTCTCTTTGATTCTGTTTCTGTAGAAACCTATTCATTTAACCTTCATTTTTCACAGAAATTTTAATTGTAGAAATCTGGATTAGCAGGTATTACCTTTCAGCAGTATACAGATTTCATTCTCGTGTCTGGTTTTTATCATTTCTATTCAGGAGTCAATGCCCGGCTTACTGTTGTTCCTCTGAAGTTGCCTGTTTTTGCCTCTGATTTTAAGATTTGTTTTATCTTTGTTTTTAGCAGCTCAATATTTTTTTTTTGCTTGGTAAGGTTTTTGTTTAATTCTTCTTGAGGCTCTCAAGAAATTCTTGAATCTATACTGTGTTATCTTTCATCAGTTTAAAATTTTTAATATATTGTTTCTTCTTTACTCCTTTTTCCTCTCCTCTGAAACCCTAATAACAAGTTTGTTAGACCTCTTCCCCCATATCCCATTTATCTCTTAAGCTTTTCTGAATTTTCCACTGTTTTTCTTTGTGCTTCAATCTCCGTATTTTCTATTGACATTTCTTCCAGTTCACTATTCTCTCTCCGCCGGTGTGCCTAATCTGCTGTTAAACCCATCTACCAAATTCTTAATTTCAGTTACTATATTTTGCAGTTCTAGAGTTTCCTCTTGATTCTTCCACACAGATTCCAATTCTCTGATAAATTTTCTCTAACTCAACTATTTTCTTAAACATATTAGTGACAGTTATTTTAAAATCATTATCTAGATCACTTGTAAATATGTTTATGCTGTTTTTCCTTACCTATCCCATGGTTATTTAATTGGTCCTGTTTCCTGTAATGTCTAAAATTTTTTTACTGAAAGTGAGATCTTACTTATGAAAACTTGTAAAAGCTCAGGATGATGTTAATTTATTCCAGAAAGGATTTAGTTTTCTTTTGGCAAGCAGAAAAAATATTAGCAACCACCCTAAGTAACAATTTGAAGCTGGTCAATTTTGGTTTGCTCTTACTCACAGAACGTAACCATTCTGAGCTATCGATTTGAAAGGCTGGAATGTTTATCATGGCTCCCCTCCTCCTTGAAGATCATGAACAATAATTTTTGTTGCCCTCTTCTCTGTGAGACTGCTTGATTCTAAGTAGTGAAAAATCCACTTGATTTATCTATGCCTGAGCCCAAATACATATGAGTTAGGAATTAACAAGTGCCTTAAGTGGATATTACTTGCAAGAAGTTGAACTCATTTCTGAGATTCAAGGGGATCTTAGTCCTCAAGCCCTGGCTGTTCAGTAGCCTCAAACTCCAGTTTTTGTCTTCCTAGCCCCATGACTGCTCTAAGCTTCTGCTTTCTATTTAGCCTCTATGCCACACATTGAGAATTGAGGAATGTCCCAAGGGAAATATGCATGGCTTATCTCAATGTATTTCCCTTTTCCCTGGGATCTTTAGCCCTGAAGTCATGGCTTTTTGTTCTCCAGTGCCTCTCCCCTCTTTTTTATTAATAGTGGGGGATGGTGGTATTTTATATAGATAGAAGGATTAATCTAATACTAGCTATTCCATCATATCTAGAAGCAGAAGTCCAAACACTCCAGCTCCTTTGACCCCTGTATTATTTCATCATGAAGTCCTAGCATTACTATTTCGTCATTGTTTCCTAAAAGTTACTACTATGTTTAGGCCTCAGTTATCTCCTACTTGGACTACTATAAGGAACAGTATCAGATATTTATGATTCTAGCCCATATGCTCCACTAGAAATTCTCAAGTTTAGTTGGGCACCATTAGGAATAGTTTCTTTTGTTTTTTTAAGATTTTATTTATTTATTTATTTGACAGAGAGATAGAGAGAGCCAGAGAGCACGACTGGGGGTTATGGCAGAGGGAGAGGGAAAAGCAGGCTCCCCACTGAGCAGGAAGCCTGACGTGGGGCTCGATCCCAGGACCCTGGGATCATGACCCAATCAGAAGGCAGACACTTAACCAACTGAGCCACCCAGGTGCCCAGGGATGATTTCTTAAAGTACAGATTTCTGAACCCTATCTATAAGTATAAAATAAATGATATGGCAGGCCTGTAATAATACCTTGGAATTACCACCAGCACCGCTAAACACACGCACACATGCACCCACATATTCCTCCCCTAAGTGATTCTGATGGAATCATTCCATGGATTGGTATTTGGGAAAAATCAATACTCTATACCTCAGCTGTCAGTTTCCTTTCTAAATTGTAAATCTGATCAGTCACTAAGATGATAGTATGCTTCTACTGGTTTATTATCTTTCTACAAATAAAAAGATCCTATGTATATATCAGTACAATTATGTATATATATGTGTGTGTGTGTGTTTATGTGTGTGCATGATAAAATGGAAGAAATAAAGCAAAAACAAGTGAAAGCAAGGGAGGGAGGAGGGGAGGGTAAAAGCAAGATTTGAAAGTGAGATTGAAAGAGAGTAGGAGTTGGGGCGCCTGGGTGGCTCAGTCGTTAAGCATCTGCCTTTGGCTCAGGTCATGATCCCAGGGTCCTAGTATTGAGCCCCGCATGGGCTTCCTGCTCAGCAGGAAGCCTGCTTCTCCCTCTCCTACTCCCCCTGCTTGTGTTCCCTCTCTCGCTATCTCTCTGTCAAATAAATAAATAAAATCTTAAAAAAAAAATTAAAATTAAAATTAAAAAAGAAAAAAGAGAGAGAGAGAGTAGGAGCATGAGACATATATGGCTTCAGATGCTCGTGGTCTAGTAAGGGAAGAAATACATGCACAGAACTTAGTTACTTCACGAATCTCCCAGAGCCTTTTTAGGGTTTTGAGATATGAGCTTAAGAAATTACCTTGTAAAGAAGAAACACTTGTATTCCACTAGGTATCTAATGACTTGGCATAAAATTTTGAAGTTTTGGCCCTTGCTTCAAAAAGAAAAGAGAAGGGAAAGGGATACGGGGGGAAGGGAAGAAAAGGAAGGGGAAGGAAGGGAAGGAAAAGAAAGGAAAAGACAGCAAACTACTACATGCTATTTCTGGATATGCACCTACACTTGAATATCATGAAATAGGCTGACCACCAAAGAACTCTGTGAGTTTGTCCAAATTATTCATTTTACTGGATTCTGTTGACCCCTTGGGAATCTGACAATTTTTTTTTTTAATTTTTTTTTTTTTAATGTTTTATTTATTCATGAGAGTCAGAGAGAGAGAGGGGCAGAGGCAGAGGGAGAAGCAGGCTTCCCGCTGAGCAGGGAGCCCGATGCGGGACTTGATCCCAGGACCCTGGGACCATGACCTGAGCCGAAGGCAGAAGCTTAACCATCTGAGCCACCCAGGCGCCCCCGACAATTTTTTTTCAAGAACATATTTAGAGGGGTAATGAACGGTTTTTGAAACAAACTGATTCAATAAAATACTGACTCAAAAATTCTATCAGTTGGGAACTGGCACTGTCAAGAATTTAAATTAAATAGAGATTCCCAATAAGCATCCTCCAACTTCTTTAGAGAAATATTTTCTTCTGATTTGTGTATAACCTCAAAACATTGTGGATTCAAGCTTTCAAGCTGCCATGTATAAGCTAGCCAAATTATGTCATCTTTAAACTCAATCATATAGAACTCTATTGTTATTATAAAGGCAAATTAAATGTATTATTCAATGACATTTCAAAAGTGTTTAAAAAAAAACAGAATTACTTTGTTAGTCACAGTGTTGATTGCCAGAGTTGGAGAGGCACTTCCCGAAATAATACACTCCATTCCCAAAGAATCTGAATCTATGCTATATGGAGTTGAGGCCTAAAATACAAGAACAAAATAAATAATTATTAGCTCATATATCCAGCAACTTTAACACAATTTGAAGGTATTTCATCAAATTCTCCAACATCTAGTTTTGTGCTTTGTTTCTGAAAATGTGAATTTCAATCCCTACTGAAATCTCTTGTACTATATGTTAATATGTTACTGACCTGGTATCACAAAGTCCATTGGCCTGGCTACTTCTTACCAGCTCTTTTAATTGACTGTGGCATAGTTGAGCAAAAATTCTAAACTTCTGTAGTAGAGACTGCTAACGGTCCTCTAATATCCATTTCCCCTATTCTCCCTTTTAGTAATAAAACCCATAGTTATTGACTTATGACAGCCCAGCTAAATACTACCTTTACAGCTTCATTTGCAAGTAGTTGTGGCCATGTGACTAAGGTGTATGTGGCCATGTAACTAACTTGTGTAAAGGAGATATGAGCAAGAGTGATATGTGCAACTTCTGGATCATGTCTTTGAAAAGAACCTGCTTTCCTCTACTCTGTCTTTCCCTCTTATTGCAGGCTGGGACACAGACACGGTGGTGGTCATCTTGCTTAATCAAAATGCCAAGGGTAGTACTCTAGGGAACACTGAAAAGACAAGATTAGAAGGAACATCAACATGTGAATGAACTGGTGGGACACAGATGGCTATCCGTCTAATCTATCAGCATGAACCTCTACTTGAAAGAGAAATAAAACTCTGATTTAAGGTTCTCAGTTGTTTTTTCTTCTTTTGTCTATTACTGCAACTGAACAGTACTGAATAACACAACTCATCACACTGTTTCTGGGGGTTTTTTGGTTTTTTTAAAAGATTTTATTTATTTATTTGAGAGAGAGAGAATGAGAGACAGAGAGCACGAGAGGGAAGAGGGCAGAGGGAGAAGCAGACCCCCTGCTGAGCAGGGAGCCCGATGTGGGACTCGATTCCGGGACTCCAGGATCATGACCTGAGCCGAAGGCAGTTGCTTAACCAACTGAGCCACCCAGGCGCCCCATCACACTGTTTATAAAGCTAATATGGGGGGTCAAAATTTTGTATTTAGAATCTGGGATATAAACTGTGATAACTCCTCTTTCTTTTGTAAGAGATGATGTTTATGGCTTTGATGAAGACTCAAGAGTGTTCAATTTCAATGCTGAAAGCTAATGACAGATATAAACAATCTGTGGCTATGATGCTAGTTCCGTGTATATTCCTCCTGTGCCCCACCCCCTCCCAAAAAAATCTGTGCCACACATGGTCCCAAGTGGAGATGCGTTTTTAAAAGATCACACTGCATGTAAAAGAGAACAATTTCACTGAGACCACGTTTCTAAGATTCATCTATTTATTACTTAATACTCCATCATGAATTTCTTTCATCAGATAACCTATGACGGTGGAGAACAGTTTGACTGCAATGAAAAAAAGAAAAAGACAAGGGTCACCCCCCACCCTCACCCAGAAGATAGAATCTAGCACTTACGTGCTGCATATACATTGAGAGTGGGGTCAAAGTGGCAAAGAGCTTCATATGAAATACAAGTGAAAGAACTACAAAGACAACTTTGTCTATGCCTCAATTTTGATGCCAGCCCAACTTAGCTAAACCTAAATTAACATATAAGATTACTTTAGAACACTGCAAATATGTTCCTCTAACTCACCTGAATCTTCTCTGACCCAACTACTGGTTCACTATTTCTCACTCCTCCCCACTGGTAGAAGAGGAAAGCCGGTGTTGTGTGATGGCATGCAAATTACTCAACCTTTATGCTCTTTTACCCATCTATAAAAATGAGGATATGTCACTTCCTTTAGAGGTCTATTAAGAGCATTAATGAAATAATTTATGCAAAGCTCTCAGCATAGTACCTGAAATGCACAGTAAGGGCTAGCTGCTATGATGACTAGTAAAACATACCTGCTATTGATGCTGAGGATCTCTGATACAAAGGGATATTTAATAGTGATTAATGAGAAAAGGCACAGATTTGGTATGAGACACTATTTTCCTACAAAGCCAGATTCATAGCTTCAGCTATTATAAATTAGACAGTAAATTTTTAAAATCTTTTAATTAGATATTCTTTATGGATACTTCAGTCTGGTTCAATCAAGAGAATAAACAACATTCTCTTTACATGCTTTGATATACTCAATAGTATAGTATATATTTTTAGTTATAGGCACACTGGTTCTATGTTATTAAGACAATAAGTAGTCTGATTAGAAAAGCCAGAGGATCTAGGTATCCCAAAACATATCTCGATAACTGTTATTATTACAGCCAAGAGGAAAATTCTGGGCAAAGAAAGTATCAATGAGTCTAATCTGGGAGGAACCAGTCAGCTTATGAAAGGTCCTTTCTGGGGTTTCCTCTTACTCCCTGCCAAAATCCTACCCACCCAAGTTCTACTTCCAGTATGGTGGTGTGAAATCCCCACAGATCAACCTTCTGCTGATAACAACTACAAATTGGGGGGTGGGGGAGGAAAGCAAGGACCACAGGAGGACAAAGAGCTGAGGATTCTGAAGATTAGGCAGATGTGGAGAGAAGTCAAAACTTGGAGACATTAGCCTCAGTTTCCTGTTTTCTTGCAGCTCTGCCCCAAGGCTGGGTAGCAGCTGTGGAGCATGAGTGGCTGGCGTTGTCTTTCTGTCAGGAGGAACTAGGGAAAAGAGCTCAGGTAAACACTGCCAGATATCAAAGAGAGAACAGAATCTGACAGTGTAGAAAGTCAAAAGGGATACCCTAATACTATATATGAAACACCACACAAGTCACCACAAAAGACTGACCCCTGACATGCAAACGCAAACTAAAGCACAGAATTAAAGAATCAAATTGAAATTGGAACCACTGTCCACAGAAGAGAGAACTTACAGTTTGAGTCTAACATGGTAAACTACCAGCTAAAACAAAAATATCAATATTCTATGGAAGAATATAACAGAACCCAGAGTCTATATAACATAACACAATGTCCACTAGGATACAATCCAAAATTACAACACATACAAGAAACAGGAAAATGCAATCCACTGTCAAGAGAAAAAACCATCTATGGAAACCACCACAAGAAGACTGAGATACTGGAATTATGAGACAAATTTTTAAAGTAGCTATTACAATCCCATGCTCAATGAGTTTTTTACTCATTGAGTAAAAAACAAAAACATAGCACACCTGAATGAAAGTGTAATAAAGGAAATCACAGTGGAGAAATTAAAAATATAAAAAGGAACAAAATCAGAATTTACAAATGAAATATACATAATTATCTGTATTTGAAAAGTCAATGGATAGGCTTAATATTAGAATGGAGATAAAACAGTAAAGAATCAGTGAACTCAAAGGCAGATCAACAAAAATTACCCAATCTAAGGAACAAAAATAAGAAAGACTGATTTTATTTATTTATTTATTTTTAAGATTTTATTTATTTGACAGAGAGAGACACAGAGAGAGAGGGAACACAAGCAGGGGGAGTGGGAGAAGGAGAAGTAGGCTTCCCGCTGAGCAGGGAGCCCGATGCGGGGCTCAATCCCAGGGTTGGGATCATGATCTGAGCCAAAGGCAGACGCTTAACGACTGAGCCACCCAGGCACCCCGAAAGATTGATTTTAAAAAAGAAAGATCAGAGCATCAGAAAGCTATGGGATAATCTCAAACGGTCTAACATGTTTAGAGTTCCAGAAGGAGAGGAAAGAGAAAAAGAAAAAATATGGAAGGACTGATGACTGAAAACGTCGGAAATTTATTTAAAGACAAATGTACAGATTTGAGAATCCCACAGTGAACCTCCATCAGGATCAGTTAAAAAGAAATCCCACTTGGATACATCATAATTGAACTGTTGAAAAATAAAGACAGAAAGCAGCCAAAGTAAAATGGCATTTCACGTACAGAAGAACACTAACTGGAAATGATCAGATTTGTCATAAAAATTATGGAGGCCGGGGCGCTCAGGTGGCTTAGTCAGTTAAGCAGCTGACTCTTCATTTCGGCTCAGGTCATGATCTCAGAGTCTTGGCATCAGGCCCCAAGTTGGGCTCAGCACTCAATGGGGAGTCAGCTTGTGGATTCTGTCTGTCTCGCCCACTGCCCCTCCCCTTGCTCGTTCTCTCTCTCTCTCAAATAAATCTTTAAAAAAAAATAGAGGTCTGGGCGCCTGGGTGGCTCAGTCGGTTAAGCGACTGCCTTCGGCTCAGGTCATGATCCTGGAGTCCCGGGATCGAGTCCCGCATCGGGCTCCCTGCTCAGCGGGGAGTCTGCTTCTCCCTCTGACCCTCCTCCCTCTCGTGCTCTCTGTCTCTCATTCTCTCTCTCGCAAATAAATAAAATCTTTAAATAAATAAATAAAATAAAATAAATAGAGGTCATTAAACAGTAAACATCTTCAAAGTACTGAAAGAAAAAAAACCTTTCAATCTAGACTGTATATCATATGAAAATATTCTTTAGGAATGAAGGCAAAGGAAGACATTTTCAGAGAAAGAAAAACTAAGAGAATCTGGTGCCAGGAGACCTGCATATATTTGGGTAAATATAAGACTGTTGCTTTCCTCTTAGGCTTCAAGAACCACATATAATTATTTAAGGCAAAATTGTAACACTGTCTTGCAAGACTTCCAGTATATGCAGGTATCATACATATTACAACTAGAAGGAATGATGAGGAAAGAGGCAAAAGGGACCCATATGTCGGAAGACTTCTGTATTTTGTATGAAATGGTAAAATATTAACTCTGAGTAGACTTCAAAAAGTTAGGAATGTATACTGAAATCCCAATATATAAATCCCAATCTATAGCTAAAAAGCCAATAGATAAAACAGAATCCTAAAATATGTCTAAGTAATCTAAAAGAAGGCAGGAAAGGGGGAAAGAAAGGAACTAAAAACAGAGAGGTCAAACAGAAAACAAAATGTAGACCTAAATCTAACAAGATCATTAATTACATTAATGTTAATAATCTAAACCCTCCAATAAAAAGACCG